TCTCTCTCTCTCTCTCTCTCTCTCTCTCTCTCTCTCTCTCTCTCTCTCTCTCTCTCTCTCTCTCTCGCGCGCGCGCGCGCGCGCGCGCGCGTGTGTGCGAAGGACCGCAGGGAGAACAACAAACGGGAAGGTTAAAAAATATGGCTGTCTATCTCCCCGTGTTTCAAGTTTCAGCGCAAGATTCATTCCATTTTGAATAGGAGGATGTGCAGGAGGAGGAGGACCGGAATGAGGAGGAGGAGGAGGGAAAGGAGGGAGATGGTAAAGTTGGGCGAATAAGAAGACAAACAAAATGGCGGTGTATCTCCCATGATCCAGCGCAATATTCATTCCATTGTCACAGGAAGAGAAGTGGATGCCCTGGCCCCACTACTCTCTAAATGAATCCTCCTCTAGAATATGGAAAGATGCACAACCAGTTTTTTTTCTCTGACGACCTTGAGACATGATCATTGGACTGATGAACCCTGGCCAAAATAAGATGGCCCCAGCTAATTTGGAATTGTAGTACTTTGCTCATCTGCTTTCAGTGGAGTTTTAACTCAGGTTGGTAGCTGGTGCGTTCGGGTTTGGCTCAGCTATTCTCTGGGTTGTATTCTTTTTTTTTGCAAACCGAAAAGGTTTAGCTGAACTTTAGCATCTTGTTTTGGCTGTCTGGGGTCATTATACAGTCCGCCGCCCGTGACATAGCCCTCGGGTCTGTTAAACTGTCTGGAGTCATTACGACTCGCCCCACGTGACATGTCCCTCCTTCGCGTTTCATCTCATCCCCGCGTCTGGGCCGCCGCTTCGCCGTGGTGGGTCCGACTTGTTTTTTTTAACACACATGCGCCTTCTATTCTGGGGGGCATCAGTTCAGTTGGTTATCACCGGCAATCATGTTTATACAGAAAGATAGAAAATTGATCCAGAGGAAAAGTGTCAGCCACTCTTGTTGCTCTAGTCGCTCACCCAAGGGGGGGGCTGCCCAAAGGCCACTCTCCCCCCGTACCATTTGTGAGGAACAAGCCCTCAAGGGACCCTATCAGACATCACATGTTCTTGGCTAAGGCCCCCAGCAAGCCGAGTGCCCGCCGTAAGTGAAGGCGGGCCTAAATATTCGTCAGAGGCCAAAATTCGGCATTTCCATATGTGGGTATTCAGGCTCTCGCAGCATGCCAGTTGGTTGAGTAGACGCGTGAGCCTCACTAAGCTGCGTCATACAGTTGGCCCAGGCCTTGACAGTTACGCCTGGGCACATACACACAAAGCAGGGCCGATACATAGTGAAGCAGGCCGTCGGCCTTCGCAAAAGCAGTACTGCCTACGCACCTGCCTGGAAGCGCTGCACAGATGCAGCAAACAGCCCAAGTCCGAAGACTCAGGCTGTGCCCAACTGAAAAGGGCCCAGGCCCTCAACTGTAGTCTCGGGCCTGGGCGCAGGGTCTGAGGCCCAACCGGAAGCTACTGAAAGCTTCCATCCAGGCCAGGTGCAGCATCCAGGAGGCTGCCACTTTCATAAAAGAAGTGAGGCAGCTCAGGCCAGGCATTCTGGCCAGTGCTGGCAATGCGGAAGTGCTGCTGCGCTCTCGCTTGATGCTGCACTGCTGCCAAAGGCGCTGATGGGGCGCGTAGTGGTGAGGAGGTGTGCTGCAGGGCAGCGGGGCGCAGGCAGCCATAGCCGGGCTGCTGGGCGCCAGGGGGTACAGTGGGCGATCTGGTGGTCTTCAGGGAAGGAGGCGCAGTGTGGGGTTATCAAGGTCTGATTGCAATCAGACTCGTTTTCAAACACACTTTTCACACATGTAAACAGTAACGCAGCATACTGGCGACATGCGCCCACTCAAAACTCAGAGATATGGTTTTCAGATACGAGTTCACTCCCAATTGGCTATGGCGACCTCAGCACACAAACATCTCACTGTTCACATACACTGGATCACCCTGGATATCCCACACGCATCACTCTAACACTCGAGCACACACACACACTCACTACTAAC